ATATATATCATCAAGGCTATTCAGATCAAGGCAGTGTCTTCTAGATCCCTCCAGGCTGGGGCAAGTGCCAGCTCGCACCTCTGGTCAGGGAGGACTGTCTGTGTCCTGGGGCCGGGCAGAAGGCCTTCTGGCTGGCTGGGTGGGAGAATTCCGAGCCCACCGGCTGCCCTGCCGTTATTTGTGCTCAATGAGCTAGCTGCTCTTACCCAGCTGAGGCTGGCAGGCAAGGGAAGGAAACTGTCGGGAAATCATAAATTAGAACTGAGGAGGCTTCCCGCCCTTCTCTGGACTCCTCCAGACAAGCAGCCTGGGCCTTCTGGGGGTGATAAAGTAAAAGTCACCGGAAATCCTTGTGCGATGGGGCACCAAAATGGGGGATGGGGGCTCTCAGTCATCTACAGGGCCTTTTCCAGCCTCAGTTTCTCCATCTGGAAGATGGGGGTAACAGGAAGACTTGGAACTTCTTGTGACTGATTTTTCTTAGCTATGAAGGGATGATTTAGGAGAGGTCTTCTTAACAATGTCACAGACACACACACACACACACACACACACACACACACACACACACACACAGCCCGTGTCTTTCTGTCTGGCCCAAGTTCTCCATAGGTCTGCCTCCCTGCCCCCCTAGGGTTCCTTACTCTGTTTCTCTTTTACCCCACTCTGCCTGTGGACTATGGAGGTCTCATTACGTAGTCCTTTGAGCAGAGAGGAGCTTTTTGTGCGCCCATACTGCAGCACGAGCATGTATTTATAATAACAGTAACTAATCAAGTGAGTCCTGATATATTTAATGATATTTAAAGTTGGGATGAAGGGGCATTAACTGAGACTCCATCTGGTTTAAATCCCAAGTTGATGCTGGCTGGGTTAGTCAGAGGCTGAGCAGGGACCTAGAAATGTGTTCTGCAGTGTGGAAAGGTGTGTGAATCCCAGCTCCCATGAGGTCAGGACCCCTCCTGCTGGATGCAGCTCAGATGGAGGCCATGGCTCCCCAAAGATAGCTGGATATGGAAGAGTAAAGGGCAGGCAAGAGGCGATGCTCACACCGGACGGCCCTGAATTGCTGGCTGCCATGTTGGTCCTAAGTGGCACTGAGTGGGCCCTGAGGCCTTCACCTGACCCTCCCCGGGGGGAGGGGGAGGGGGATTGAATGAAGTTCTCACGGCTGGAAGTAGCAGAAAATAACAAGGAGACTAGGAAGAGGAGGAGGAGGAGGAGGAGGAGGAGGGAGAAGAGGAGGAAGAGGAGGAGGAGGAGGAGGGAGAAGAGGAGGAAGAGGAGGAGGAGGAGGCAGAGGAGGAGGGAGAAGAGGAGGAAGAGGAGGAGGAAGAGGAGGAGGAGGGAGAAGAGGAGGAGGAGGAGGAGGAGGAGAGTGTAACACTTGAACTTGAGAGGTGGAGGTGGGAGGATCAAGGGTTCAAGGTTAGCCTGGGCTACAGGAGACCCCATCTCAGTCCCTACATACACACTGGAAAAAAAGAAGAAAAGGAAGAAAGCCACAGAGCAGAGATAGCAATGAAACAGCCAGAACTATGCAGAAAGGAAGTGGGAAACAGGAAAAGAGACACACACACAGGAAGAGGGGTGCTTTAAAGAGAGGACCCCAGGTTGTTGGTGTCAGCTCACATGGGAGCCTGGGAGGCAGGGCCAGGTGTCCGCGCATCGGTCTGCACTATAGAGCTTTGGCTTCCCTTGACCCCTCCCAGACACCCTGGGTAGGAGTCCGCCCCTCTCTGGGAGTGGCTCTGGTTACCTGGGGCTAGTCCGTGTCATCTCAAGGGGTCACTTAGGTAGACAAGCCACAAGAAACGTGGATCCTATCCCA